CAATGTTCTTTTGTATGACTTGTGAACAAAACAAAAGTGATGTTTACTTTAGCAGTAAAACTTTGTTTATAATATAATTAAAGCATTGATTTGAAGTTAAATAACTTTTTGTCCCGAAAGCGGAGAACCTCCAGACAGCAGACAAAAAAATAGTTCGTGATACAGTTTAATTAAAAACAACTGTTATTGACCTTTGAATATATTATTTTGCTCCAAAATAAATAACTTTTTTTTTGGATAACTTTTTATCACCGTTTTAGTTATTTTTAGCCATTTTAAAGCTAAAGCTAAATCTAAGATATTAAAGCTATATTGTGACTTTAGCTATATGAAGCTATATGAGTGGTTTTTGTCACCTAAAATTCAATGCTTTAAATATAATGAATACATTATACAGAACTGTGTATTTATACAATCGCTAATTATAGACATTTTTGACACAAACTTATGAATTCAAATGTATTTATTGTTTTAAACCTTATAGTCTCAGCGCATTATTGTTAAATACTTTTCATTTTAATACATATAATAAACATTTTTTTCGATAACTTATTGAATAATATATTAATATTTTCAATTAAATAAATATAACTAAAGATGTGAATCAAAAATCTTTGTGAAAAGCTCTAAGATAATGATTAAACAATTTGTAAATCCTGTCCAACAACTAATCAAAATAAAAATATTAAATATCGCAAAAATAATTATTTGAATAAACATTATTGTTAGGACTGAAATGTTGAACAAATATTTTAATTAAATTGAAACATAAGTTATATATTTATGTTAATTGATAGGAAATTATGGTTATTAATAGTGAGAAAGGAAAACAGATTTTTTACATTCATGTTTTCAAAATCAGTTTATGTTACTGTATGTTAATTATGAGGAAAGCATTCATTTAGCATTCATTTAGTTTTGATTTAATCAGTCAAACAAAACACACGTATCACAAATTGAGACTTTGTTCAAAGCAATCAATACTATTGTAGATAATATTTGTTTTTATTAAAAGTATTTTAATTTCGCCAGACATTTGCATACAGTTATAGACTATAACTTATAGTCAAAAACATAACAGTAAACTTATTTTGAAAACATTAATGTAAAAAACGTGTTTTGATTTCAAAGTTAAGTTTTCAATTTGATCAACAATTAGACAAATATAGCGCATTGTCGGTAACTATACTTAAAGCAATAATTGAATTAAATTAATCATAACAACTACTTATTGATTGAATTAAAGCCGATTATCCCCAGGAAGTGAAAGCAATGCCCGGTTATGATAGCGATAGGTTTGTGGGACTCGACGAGCCCTATAGGCAGGAGCTGTTGTGCGGCATTTGCGCCGGTATTCTTCAGGAACCGCTGTTCACCCAATGCTGTCTTCAGACCTTTTGCAAGGAGTGTATCGACGCGTGGCTTAAGACAAGTCATACGTGTCCTCTCGATAGGAAACCGTTGACCATCGCTGGGTTAGCCCAACCGCCCCGGTATGTGATTGCATACAAATAAAGCTGTTTTTATGACATGTTTGTGACTTTTATTTTGTATAGACTTTTGCTGAACGTGTTGTCAAAGTTGGAGATCAGCTGTGATTTCAAAGACAAAGGCTGTCCAGAAGTGGTAACTCTGGAACAGTTACCAAAACATGTCTCTCAATGTCTTTATAATATCATCAAATGCTATAAATGTTTTTGTGATTATCATTCAAACGGTGGCCACGAATGCGTCCAATCATTGCTTCAATTGAATAAAACGGCAAATAAAGTGGTCGAAGATCTAAAGACAGAAAGGGATCAACTGTTGGAACAGATAAAACAAATGTCCGCCAATCAGAGCATACCTATCATTGTATGTATTATATTTTGTTTATCATATTATGTTTTGTTAATTAATTTTTTATTTCAATTTAATTACAATTGTTTGAAACTTTCAGCAAAACAGTCGACGTTTACCACAATTTCCTTCACTGCCAACGGTTTGCTTTGAATTTTATTTCATAATTTAAATTGTTTCTAAAATTATAAATAAATATTAATTACAAATATTTTATACAAAAATTAATTATGACTTTTATTTGGTATTTTAAAGTGATTTATAAAATAAAAGAGTTTATTTGATCCATAATAGACATCAAACCCAATGGCAAACGTGATCTCTGAATACGAGGCGATCGTCAGCTCCAGAAGTCAGTCATCTTTGATACAAATCGTAGAAAACAATTTAACAGAAGAGATGTCAGGAGTTGTGATGTCTATCACCAGCGAACAGATCCACGAAAACACAAGCCTTTCAATCATTTGCGAGAATATTGTCCACAAACTGAACGATACGTTTGGGAGGGAATGGCAGTGCAGTGCGGGCTTTAGGACTGGCCATCACTCGTACCGGGATTTTAAGCCACAATTTCATTTGCGAATACACTTTGGTTTAGTATATCTACACATATTTCAAACACATGTTGTGAGCACTTATTTTATAGCAATTTTTGCGACAATTAATGTCCAAAATTGAATTTTTCTCGTTTTTATTTTACGACCATTTTTCCCGGCAGGAGATCACTGAAGAGGAGGCCATCATTTGTGCCAGAATTGTGTCATTGGAACCGAAAATAATACAAAACCATTTGAATAGAAAACAAACTCAAAAATTGTTGTCTATTGTGAGGACACAACTGATGCAAAACAATACTATTTCTCTCATCTGTAAGAATATTTGCCACGAATTGAACAACGATTTGGGTCTCAATTGGCACTCGTATGCCAGATATGGACAGCCCTTTCACTCGTCATTTACCTACGAAAAGGAATTTCTCATTGAATTGCAATTCAATTCATTATATTTTCAAATCTATAAAACGGAAGTCTTTTAATCACAAAAACATATCAAACTCTAAAAGTATTTTTGTATTTTTCATCATAAGATTTGATTTCACTTTAATGTGTGATGTTTTCAATACTATATTCACAATATTATATAACACTTTAATTTGTAATAATATTTTTATTAAATAAAATCATTAAAAGTCAATTTATTTTTATTTAATACTTAAAAGTAATTATTTATTTTTATGTAAATATTTAACAGTTATTTAGCTATAATTCCGGACAACATATTTACAACAAAACAATTATATTAAATCAATGATTAAATTATAAATTAAAAAATGATATTTAAATAATTTAAGTTAAAACAGTTGTATTAAAAAATGAGTAATAATGAAGTTAAATGAAAACAAAAGTTTAAAAAATACAAACAATGAAAATATAATTAAAAATGATTATTTGTGTGAAGTGTTGATGCAATTAAATCCATTGGTTTGGACCCAAAGTGCCGTATAATTGGCCCGAATGTCGGCGACTGTCCTCCGAGTGGCCGGAGGTGTGGCCGGAAACGTGTGGCGCCATTGAATGCGCGGCCAACGAATGCCATCCATCCGCACGTCTCCCATCCTGTAGTCCACGTGTCCGCCCGTCCACTCCTCCTCTTCGCCGCCATTCACTCCATCGTTGGGCACGTCTTCACTCATTTCCAAATCTATTGATAAAAAATAATTAATAATTAAAATTAAAAACAAAATAATATTTAAAAACTTACCAAATGTGATGACAATTGCAACAAAGAGTCAACTATTAATGTATTGTGAATGACTAAACACGTGTTGAACTTGTGTTGCAAACAAAACATGAAATAACTTTTCAATGATTTATGCGGTCATAAATATAGTGACCAATAATTGTTATACAAATATAACACCAAAGTGCCGTATAATTGGCCCGAATGTCGGCGACTGTCCAACGAGTGGGCGGAGGTGTGGCCGGAAACGTGTGGCGCCATTGAGTGCGCGGCCAACGAATGCCATCCATCCGCACGTCTCCCATCCGGTAGTCCACGTGTCCGCCCGTCCACTCCTCCTCTTCATTGCCATTCACTCCATCGTTGGGCACGTCTTCACTCATTTTGAAATCTATTGATAAAAAATTATTAATAATTAAAATTAAAAACAAAATAATATTTAAATACTTACCAAATGTGATGACAATTTGCAACAAAGAGTTAACTATTAATGTATTGTGAATGACTAAACACGTGTTGAACTTGTGTTGCAAACAAAACATGAAATAACTTTTCAATGATTTATGCGGTCATAAATATAGTGACCAATAATTGTTATACAAATATAACAAACTATTAATGTATTGTGAATGACTAAACACGTGTTGAACTTGTGTTGCAAACAAAACATGAAATAACTTTTCAATGATTTATGCGGTCATAAATATAGTGACCAATAATTGTTATACAAATATAACGTTATATTATATGCTTTTAAATTATTTTAAATTTTAAATATTTAAATTTTACTTAAATTATGTTTGCTAATTGTGTTGCAATAAAATTATACTTTTAATCCTATAATGCATTACAGATAACAGATATACTGTAATAAACATTTTTAATTAATCATCACTTTTATCGCAATCAAAATAATATATCCTAATCTCAAGCTATTGGTAGTACTCGTTAATATTCGATGTCAATCATAAGGCAATTGTTTGTTTAGTTTTATTGTATATACAAATCATATAATCAGTTAACTTTTTTCTCTTCACAATAAATTCACTGAATTATAAGTATTAATAAAAATATACAATAAAAATAATAAAAACAGAAACAGAGGTTTCTTTATTAGTCAATAAATTATGATATAGACTAAGATACCAATATAATCACAAAGTACACAAAACCATCCTCAAGAGAAGAAAGCCCAGTAAATTAAATATTTATAAATATAATATTTTAAATGTTGTTTAAATTTCTGATCATGTTTAATGTAATAATTATTGTTAAACAGAATTATCATTTAAATTATACATGAGTTCGATGAATGCTCATTGATTGTAAGTCATGTGAATATAATTATAATTAGATTTTAGGTTTTTGTTTCAAATTTTATAGTTTAAAAATTAACTTTTAATAATTATTGTAATTAAATGTAAATAAAAATAAAAATTCGCTGACATTGATCATTTCTTATAAATTAGCTACTTATTACATCAATAAAAACGATTAGTGTTTCTACAATGTCATTCCTAATCAGTGTTAACATGTTTATTTTATAAAATAATTAATTTCCCAGAAGTGTTAAGTAATTCAAATGATTACGTTATGAGTTTGTAATTTTTAAATACATTATTCACAATATTTAAACTCAAATTAAATGGTGTTTTATAAATATTTTGTGTAAATAAATTAAATGTATTGATAAAATTATTTTATGCCATGAAGTGAATCGCCCGGAAAAGTCTAACTATAGCTTACAAAGTCTAGCATTTCTTTGTCTATATGTCTCCGATTGCAGACCAAAAGTTGCAAACATTTATTCTTCAATTCAACAGTTTGTTGTTTTATCATTTCATTTAGTTTTCACTTTTATAACAGTATTATTGTGTATATTCTGTGCGTTATTTCGCAAATTATATTAAAGTCATTATTATTATCATAGTTTTGATGTGAAATAACAAAGAGGTAACAAAAATGCCCGGATATGAGATCGAAAGGTTCCCGAGTCTGTCGGCCAACGAGAAGAGTGAATATACGTGTAGTATATGTCAGGATATATTCTGCTGTCCGATGACAGCCCCCTGTTGTCTACAGA